GGCGAGCAAAGATGCTCTTCTCCTTTCTGAAAAATCCTGCTTCTTAACATCAAATGTAAACTCGTGTTTCTTTGAAAGTTACCACTGGTAATTTCGAGCTGTGCGATTCGAAACGGTATTGCCGCGTCGTGAAACAGTCGCGCTTAAGCTGCAACCATCGGGCTAATGTGGCAGATACCTCCCATAGCGAAATTAAGGTAAATCGTGTGCGGGCCCTCACCGCCGTACGACACTGTTCTACCGGGAAAATCGATATGCAAATCTACGCGCAAATCCTAGTAATCTTGCTCACCCGTCCTGCAGCCCTTGCAACGGCTCAACGGGCGGATGGCATACACCCGTTGACACCGTCGCCCCTTTCGCACCTCTTATCCACCCAATTTCTTTCTCTTCGCTTTCTTTCTTTCTCTTCCTCTCAGCCTGCATAGTTTCTCTCTATCATTCTGTCTGCGATGCTCATTTCAGCAGCGAGAACACGTTCTTTCCCTCTCGGCGTGCTCTCGTTGCTCGTTGCGCAGCAGGGCTGCGACAGAGGGGGCTGATGGGGGTAGATGGGTGAAAGGTTATAAAACGGGGTTAGCCCGGGTCTGAAGGATCGTGTTCGTCGGCCACCTTCGACGACAGGGCTTTATCGAGGTGAAAAAGGTTGCTCGACATCGACCTCCCGCCGCCATGAAGTGAGCAACCATCCCGCAAGCCTGCCTATGGCACCACCCTCTTGCTTTTTCCCTCTTACGCCCCGTCGTCGAGTCGTTTTCGCGGATGTCTTCGCGTTTTTTTCCACGCAGCTAGATGGGGAAAACGATCCAAGTGCTCTCACGCGACGACGAATTATTATCGCGTGGTTTACTATCGTACTTTTTATATGTGATCCTCGTAATTTTGAGCCGGATATTGATGCCAATAAAATTTTTTATATCGCTCGGCTCCAATGGATAACGCTAACATCAAATAAGAATGTCGTTTTGTACCATTTTCGATATAACTACGATATAATATCGATGGATCTTATTGATAAAATCTTAATTTATTTTTAAGCTATATTTTTTTAAATTTTGATTGAAATTGAATTTTGTGTATTCGTAATTATGAAACAGATCAATTAATGAACTTGATAATTATATTTTAATTTATTTTTAGAACAAAATAAAATCTCTTTTCGATATTCATTATCATAACATGTATCTATATTGATTTAATTCCAATTCTATTGCAGAGTACTTAATTTTTAAAATATATAGGTTCATTTCATGATAAAGTTGATCGCAAAATAACAAAAAAATTTTGATTAAAGCCGTATTCCGTCTGGACGAAACGTTTTGTTTTCTACGCTGGTTTATTTATGTGAGACGGGAGAAAAGAAAATGTACGTCTCTAGTAGTAGCTTGTATTTGTGGGAGGTCAGCGTGAAAGGAAGGAAGACAATCAATCTTGATCCCAATTATCGCGTCGCTCAGCGACTGTAATTGAGTCGGTTTCGAGCCTCCAACCGCCTCCATCCACGACGTTTCTTTTGTAATGCCGGAAGGCTGAAACAATGAAGGCATAGAGTTTCCCCGTTGCGCTCGTACGAGTCGACTGGAAGCATTTTTTGGCTTTACCACACCTGCTCGTTTCGCACCGATGAGTTATTAAGAGACGAACCGCTGAAGATTATTTATTGTCTTTGTATCGATTAAATTTTTTTCACCTTCTAATCTTTTCAATACACTTCATATTTTTCCTATTTATAACAAAAAATTATATTTGCAGTTTTATTGAATTTATATGATATAATTATACGGATAGTTGTATAAATATCACAATTTGTATGAATAAATATATAGAAATTTAATAACAAAAATTAGCTCACAGGATAACATTAAAAGTACGCTTTTTATAATTACTTCTCTCAACAATAATTATTTTAATTTAAATACTTTTGCATAATATATGCAGTAATTAAATTGACAACAATAACGAATTTGTTTATCTTGAGGTTTATCTCTATAAAAGATTTTCAGAAAGACCATTCAACTTCAAATCTAGATCTACAGAAATCTAAATATTATTCTATACAAACCTTGAATTAAAAAAATAATAATATATAATTTGGGGGAACACAGTTGAGCCATATATTTGTCTAAGGTTAACCTTAAAAATAAGCTTAACCTTAAAATGAGTCAAATTTGTTACTACACGTGAGTCAAAAGTTATTGCTTCATTTCAGGACGTAATAAGCCTTCTACGAATAGGCAGCGTGAAAATAAAGCTTTCTTTGTGTGCTGCTTTATGTTAGGCTATTAATCTAAGTGGATAACATGAAATTGAATATTACTTATTAGTTTAGGTTGATGTACAGATATTAGATTCAAACTCGTTTATATTTTTAGAACCAAACGAATGATTTCTTCAATATTGTCTATGCATTGTATACATTTTCGCAGCACACGAGTATCTAGTAATGTCATAAATTACGATTGCCTAAAATGTCAAATTGCTGTTTTTATAACAGCTTTGTCTGAGTCTAAGATATCAATATTATATTATTTTATTTATTATAGTATTATTAATTGTAATTATTTATAGTTAATAAATTTTCTTTATAATTGCGTACATTATTCGATGATACATTTTCAATGTTTATTATTGAAAAAATAATTTAATTGAATATTGCAATTTTTATTGTGACTATACATTTTATAATTTCACATTTAATGCGTATGTTAAAGATAAAATAAGGACTTTGTTCAGATATTAGTGCACATAATTTTATATCATAATTAAATTTACATATGTTTAAAGTATAACAGTTTGGAATTTGCAGTTTGACAATAATTATTGTACGCAACATCTTCCTCGAAATTGTGAATTGATTTTAATGTATCTCTATTCTTAGTGAGAAACACGCAATTACGTTTAATAATTCTGATTTTTAAAGAGTGTCTAGAACGATATAAATTTGCATTAAATTTACATTTGTTTAAGGATGAAACAATTCGGTCCTTAAAAGATTTGTGAGATATTACATCATTATGTATGAAATTTACGAGAGGCTATCCGTTTCCGGGGATCCTCTAAATATCATTAAAGTTTCATTAAAATTAGAGGGGAGCGTTTCGCATAGCTCCCCGGAGAATGCTGTTTCTTATCAGTAGCCCCTTTAAATCAACTTTAATACTGCGCTCACTAGTTGGCACCATCTAGAATGTACAATTTAAGCGTCCCAAAATCATATTTATGTTCATTATTATACGATATTTATTGGCGCATTTGATAAACAAATTACTGATTATTATTATATGAGTATATATTTATTGAGAAACTATTTTTTCTTTAAATTCTTGAAACGTTTAACTTTTTAAATTTTTCAAATATTGAATATCATTTTGTTTGTTCTCAAACTCATTAATTTTTTTAAATATTTTTGTATCTATTTTGGATTTCCTTGATTATTTGTATATTTCTAATGTGTCTTTAATGTCAGATTAATGTCAGAAAATGAGGACCTTTATCTGGCTAGCTTAAAGAATTTTTCTGATTTAATTATTAAAAATTAAGTACACTTCAAAATAGTTAACTACACTAAAAATAAAAGTAGAATAGACATGCAAAACAATCGTTCTTGAGAAGCAATAAATGTTACCAACGTCAAAGCATCCGCAGACATCGATACGCGTGTATACTTGCCATGTTGCCTTGTGCAAAAGCAAACGCTTGAATCTTGTCTCATGCAATTAGTCGAGCTTAAACCGCTCCGTGTCAACGAGAGGTTGGCTCTAGGAGAGCGCGACGACGCGGAGAACGGCGGCGGTGACGATGGCGAAGATGATGAAGAGGGTGGAGCATTTCCTCTCAATGGGTCGAAACTTTCTCGTGGCGGGTACCTACACATTATTCCTCGAAACTCTCGAATGTGCTTAATTAGGCGATATTTGAGCGTTCATCCCGCCGACGCTACCACCAGCACGACCCACCGTTTCCTCTTGGCCATCCAACCGACGCAACCCCTCTGTCTCTGACGGAGTTTACGCTCGCAAGCCGCTATTACCGAAAACCACTGGATTTTCGTAAGAAAGCACCGGCGGCTGGCGGTGGCTACCACCCGGTTCTATATAGACATCTTACCTGAACTAATATTGTTAAGGTTTAATTAGTACCACCGCGACACCAAGCGCAACCTCTTCTTGTCCCGCCTACCCTTCTTCCTTCCTTCATTTCCCGCGGGTTTCCGTTTCTCCGCCACCAGTCTCTTTCCGAGACCTGACTCGACACTCTCGACGATGCTCCTTCCACTTTCCCGCCTTCGTGCCACTTCCGTATTCCAACCTTGCACCCGCAACTTACCTCATAAACCGCGTTACAGTTCGTCCCAACATCCAAATTATGAGAGGGAGAGGCTGAGTGAGAGACAGAAAAAGGGAGAAACAGAGAGAGAGAGAGAGAGAGAGAATAAACGAAAACCTGATATGAAGGGTGTATAATAAGCGATTTTTTTATATTAGCCATATCATGGACTATAACTTGTGTTTTTTTCATAGCCAACTTATAGACGAAAGCTTGTATTACACATTGTTTTACTGAAGACAGTACCGTGTCTGATATATATATATATATATATATATATTCTATAAGAATATTATGAATCATGTGTATGGCGTCGCGAAAATAGCATCCGCGTTATTATATATCATATCATGTAGTATTGCTGATACGAATATCAAATATCTCACCGATCATTATGTTCGCTAGGACAATGAATATCGAGTATTATATTTTACAATCTCTCGTCCAATTTCATTAATACATATTATATATAGTCGATATCCAGCTTACAATATTAATTGTTAAAGCAATGCTAGATAATTTTCCATTATTTGGAGGCAAACTAGGAAGAAATTTAGCGTATACTGCATAATATAATGTTCAAAATAACTTGACTCCGATTTATAAATAAAAAATTATAATTATTTAAAAAAATAATAGTTGTAGTAAATTGATTTTCTGCATTTTTTTTTCAGGGTCGGTGTAATCGAGAGAAGCCACCTTGCAAGTATTTCCATCCCCCACAGCATCTGAAGGACCAACTCTTGATAAACGGGCGCAATCACTTAGCGCTAAAAAACGCGCTGATGCAGCAGATTCAGCAGGGCCTTACGCCGGGTCAGACTCTCGTGCCCGGGCAGGTACCCGCAGTGGTATGTCTAACAAATTAACACGATCGTTGCACCACTTCTTCTGCTATCAACACAGTCACACACTTTCTTTTACCACACCGTAATATCTGGATTTTGTCTGTGTTTAGTCGAGGGTTACTAGATTATCTTATTCGATAGGCAACGCTGCGTAGATTATTGACGGCGTAGTGTATAATAAGCTTTCTTTTCACGTTACTATATCGTATCAAGGAAGCTAGACGCTATTACTGTAGAAGCTATGTCTGCGTACGCAATTTCATATATTACCTTAAATTAAAACGCTTTACAAACTTTTTCAGTAAGGCTCGAGTTATTATAAACGCAGCACTTCGCCGTCCATATTTACATGCGTTCCCTTTTACGGACATTGCACCGAGAGATAAAGTTTTTTAAGAATTAAAGTTTAGCACGTCGCATGTTCTTGGTCAGTGTCATCCTTACTTCCTAGAGTAAAACCTGACTTATCCACATATTTTGATAGACAGTCAATTTACAGAATCGAATCTCTTTGATACGATCGGTAATTTTTAATCTTATTATTTTTTATTACAGCTTTTTTTGAAAAATTATGATGACACTCGTGATTTTTATTCTTATTATTATTCTCAAGTCGTGAATTTTAATTATTTTTGTATTACAAGTACATAATGTATTCATATGATATTTAAATATATTTTTGATTCAAGAACTTTATAAATAACTTGTAAAATCAAGTATTTTTTAAATTTGCATGAAACGCAAGTTAAGAGTCCTTGATATGGACATATTAGATTCGTATCGCGAATATTTCTCGTACTGTTCGTATTTATCATTTAACGGGGGAGGCTCGTTAATTACGGGAAATGCAATATCGTCGTGTCAAATTTCCAAACGATAGAGTAGCGTGTTTAGACGCGGAAAAGTTTCATCGACTCGTTAAAATTTCACGCGACATCGCATGCGTTGTTGGTACGACATTCGGATAATTTGGATTGACTCGAATAAATCTTCGACGATTGAAGAAACTTATATGCGTTTTTTTCCGAACTCCCCTGTTTCACGTGTATCTCTAAAACGATCGATACGCGATATTATCGTTATTTTATTTTTAAAGAAATAATAATAAAAACTCTCTCGTTATTAACGTTTGCCCTCCTTGTTCTTTTTATTTACTCATGACATACATTCATATTCGTTGCTACGTGACATTAAACCCTATACTATGACTGCCTGTCTGTCCCCTATGTTTGCCGCTGTGGCTCACGTGGTTGTGGTTGATTGTTGGTGTGTTCTCCAATTACGTCATTGGTGAACAGGAGGCACCAGCACCTCCGGCACCACACCATCACCTTCAACAGCAAATCCAGCAGCAACTTCTCGCTACCCACGCCTTTATGGTAACTCCTGGTTTTGGTTGGCTTCCACTAATTTTTAGTTAATTTAATGCCACGCTGGCTAGCGGTGGATGTAAAGATCATTTATGAGTTTGTAAAAGGAAAACATGATAATCTGTATTTAGTTTCAATTTGCGATATGTTTATGCCAAATAAATTACTTTCATAAGTTTACATCCACTGTAGCTATTCAAGCGATGCGCCTGTAATTAGTAAGCGTTCGTACGAAAGCTTAAACTTTTATTTTAAGAGCGCGCCGCATAGTAAGTCAATAATTTATTTGCATGCTTTACGAAATGTTTTGTTTGTTTATTGAGGAAAGAAAATTTGTTTGTATATGTTTTCGTAAAGTTTTCCTGTAGAAGAGAGGAGCATGAAGTATTGCGGCTAAATAAAATTTGCGCGTTCTTTGGCTCTGAAAACGACGAATGTTTCTTCTCTTTCACTTTGAAATATTTTATATTTTATGTTTAACATTGTAACAGTAAATATTTAAATATAAAAATTGTTAGAGTTTTGAAATATAATGAGAATATGAAACTCATGAGAGTCAAAGAGACGAAGAAAGAGGATGCGAGGCAGGGTAGTCTTGAAAATATTATCGATCTTACAATATTTCAATTCGGTATTAGGAATGAAATTTTTGTTTCCTGATATACTCTGAAAAATTAGAAAGCTGATGTCTGATCGTATAATAGCTCAGCTAATATTTTTCAACAATTACCTGGCCGCGTTTCCGAAAGCTTTTTTTACAACGACGAAAGCTCCCAGGGTATCAGAGGCTTTTGAGAAGAGGGAACGAGTATTCTGCTCGTTCGGATGCGCTTGAAATTACCTGCCTTCGCTTCTGGGAGCCAGCTCTCGCTGCAAAACCAAACGCTTCGTTGGGAACGTACGCTTGTCGTTAAAAGTGAAGGGGAGGGCACGAGAGAAGAGAAAAAGGACGATTAAGGCTTTGCGAGATCCGTAAATGAGACGTCTTTTCTTTGCAAATTTTTGTCTTTAGCACGTTTTTCAGATTTACTGCCCCGAATTAATCCTTGTAAATATACAATATCACGCGTGCAGTAGAATTTCTTTAAGAGTCACTTTTTTAAAAGTCTCTTCCAATATTTTTATTTATCGAATTTTGATGTTGATAATAATCTTGAGATATAAATGATAATTACAATAAAATATAATTTTAGATATATAATTATATATTATTCTATGATAATTTTGTAGTATTTTAATTTAACGTTGTTTTTAACAAATATTGGAAAAATATGTAGAACATTTAATTGGTATATTTTTAATATCAGTGCGCTCCTCGCCCTGATAAAGTGAATGATAAGATTCACGAAATGTTGGCATTATAGCAATAGATGAAAACATGGCGATACCCGTAAACCTTTTAGTATCTTTGAAGAATATTTAATTATTTAAATGGATATTTAATTAAATAATAATAATTTTATTTAGTTAAATTGTTCAAGATGAATTAGGACAAAATGTATTATTTTTATATTTCATATTTTTAAAATAATCCGAACATTTGAATTTAATTGCCATCATACTACATATTGCTATTATATATTTCTCTGTATGTTATTTGTTTGAAATTCCTAGAATTTTGCGGATAAATATTAAACAGCTTAAGATAGCTATGTATCAATTTTTTCTCAGCAATGTATTAATATATAATTTTCCTTTATTACACGTTGTTATTACACCAAATATTAACGATGTTGGTTATTTATCTAAAATTGAAGCGGGTACGGTTATGGTTCGTAAACCAAGCGATGTATATTGCGCGCCTTAAAGTTGATAAACACCGGAGAGCATTGCTCGCAAAGCTTTAAAGCACCTTGAGGCAAAATTTACACGGACATTCAGAAATGGTAGATTGCATAGACAGAGTATTTGATAATTGATGGCACAAACGGGAAAACGTTAACTTTTTGTTGTAGAAATTAAACTGCTCAATTTGAAACGAGTTGATTCGTAAGAAGAATCTTTGTTTGGAAACAGTTCCTCATTCTTAAATTATTTGCAGAAAACATTTTCTGTATATTCAATTGTAATTATTCTTATCAAAATTGTGGAACAAATGTATATTCATCAACATATTTATAATATATTAAGTATACGTTATAAATATAGAATAAAAGTTTCGATTTTATTCTTGTCAAATATATAAATAGTTATTTATTGATTAGATGCATTTTAAACTTCTCTGACATTATGTGATGTAATAGTTTGTAATATTTATATGTAACTTCTTTCTTAAGAATATTTAGGAATTGCTGAATTAAAGTGTTTTGTTCCATGCAATGTATATTCAAATTTAGTACTCCTATCTTTATATTATCAATTTGTATGAAGTAAATAATTTGAAGATATGATTTTATTGACACAAAAAAGCAATTTTTAATTAAATCAACTCGCTTTATAAGGAGATATCACGTGTTTTATCTGGCCACTAATATCAATACTCTGTATATGCAAATATTTAGGTATAAAGCACGCGTTTCAATGGTCTCGAAATCGCGCGCGTCGCGACGTGTACAATCGAAAACGCGTGGAGCGAAGGCGGGGACAGGTGTGTTCTAATCCATGTTACCTGGATATCTTCCGGGTGTGTTTTCGCAGGCGACGAATCCGTACCTGACCGGTATGCCGCAGGTTAGCAATACGTACAGCCCGTACTTCGCGCCCAGCCCGATAATGCCGGCGATAATGGGCCCGGCTGACCCAACGGGCGTCGGCAGTCCGCTCGGCGTGGTACCGCAGACAGTGGCGATGCCGCAGAAGATGCCACGTACCGACCGCCTCGAGGTATGTCTACCACCAAACTACATTCAACAACAACAACAACAACAACAGCAACAACAACAACAACAACAGCATGGGGCCCAACACGGCGCAGCCGGGGCCTCAAGGTGCCCGATGGCCGCGCCCAGTACCGTGTACCAAGTGCCGGCCGGTCCCCCCAATCAGGTGTCGCCCGTATCCACGATGCAATCTGTCAATCATCCACCATCCCCCACCACCATTACAACGACGTCCCTGTGCACCCCTCTGCACAATCCCCATGCCCATCATCATCCCATTCACAATCTCATTTATGTTCACGCGTATTATTAGAGAGGCTCGCCGACGTATAGACTTTTAAACTCGACTCGACACCGAGTGTCGATGACGTTCGATTGTTCGACGAGGTAGATCGACGCCGCGCCAACGCGTCACTTCTTTTCGTCCTTTCATTTAACCCCCCCCCCCCCGCCCTCTCTTCTCTTTGCGTTTTTCTTCCCTCTCTATTTTTTCTCATGTAAGCGTAACGCGTCGGGTGGATTAATCAGCCAGGGCGTAACGGTACGCCCGTGGTGATTAGAGCGTAACGATGACAACGGATGAAATTGCAGCGGGCACCGAGAATATCCTGATTTCGCAGGCGGGTTATATAGACATGCGTTGCTAATTACAGTAATTTACGCCGCGCGGATCCATAAGGCGATCTGATTACTCGAGCCGGATGGCTTACGTTCGTCGTGCGAGACAGCGATCGATAGTAACGGTACCGATGGATCCTGGGCTGGAAATCGGACATTCGTTTTGAGAACATATGACAAACATTACGAAGACTATAATGGGAGAAACTTTGGGAGTGTTTAGTTAGGATTACAAAGCGCTATATATTTCTATACACTCATTTAATTAATGTCACGTGTTCGATCACGCAAAGAGATGTGTATCTTACAACTAGCGGTATAGAAAACGATAGTCTCGAGATTAGACGCAACTGTAGTCGGTGATTAGTGAACAAATACGATTTCGATGACGATTTCGCGATTTACATCGATTTAGAATCAATCGTAACAGCGACTGGTGGCGATTAATCTCGTATATAATAGATATTTCGGCGAATAATTTGCAATAGATAAATATAGAAATCGTAAATTTTATGAAAAACAGAGCAAACGCTGGAAGTGACGAACAGCGAGAGAGGAGAAATCGAATTGCGAGAATGACAAAGATTTTGTGCGTATATTTTGTAGTGTGAAATGATGGCAGGAAATGAAACGATGCAATGACGAGCAGTAATATATCGTTATCTAGTAAGGTGTGGTGACAAAGCAAATCTAATTTAAGATACCGCACGTAGAGATACAATAGATTCCTATGGATCGCAAGCGACACAAAGGTCTAAAAGTATCGAGAGCATGTAAATTCTTATATCAGGTAACTATAACGGCAACGATGAAACGTGATGAATAATTACGATTAACTTATATAGAATATATATGGCTGATTTGATAAAAGTAGACAGATTTCTAAATGTGTAACCGACTAAATTATGCAAAAATATTTTAGCAATTTACGAGTATTTTTTAAATTAAAACTTATCTCGATTTATACGACTTATGACATCTACACGTTATTTTATAACATCAATAAATTATCATCATAATTGCATTATAATGTATTTTTGTTTTGTGAAATTGTTGACCTTATACATATATTTTTTACTAAAAAAAAATACTTATTCGGTATGACAAGTTACAGTCCCTTTGTTACTGCGTTTTTAGGTTAAAAAAATAAAAACAATTATTAATGCTCTCTCTTATTGATTATCAATATTTATCTAATATGTTAAATTTTAAGAAAAACCACATTAAATGTTAATATTTTTTTGCAGACTGTTTTATTATAAATTTTATTTTTGTTATATGTATTTGACGATGATCAATTATAAAATAAATTAGATTTTTTTTATGGTTATATTAATGATAACGTGCTACAATTATCGACATTTTAGATATACTTATTATACGAAAGATAGGATAAATAATATCATCGAAATTATTTTTAACGCCCGAATCGTTATCGTTGGTTTTTTTTTCGGATCTACAAAACGTCGTCGAGCGATTCAAACGAAGATGTGCCATACTCGGCTTATTTTCCGTCTCGGTTCACACCGTTGCAAGGACAACTTATCTTGCAACACAATTATTTCGTAGGAAGTTACTTCTGGCGGTTACATTGAAATTCTGTCACTTCTATCAAATATACGCCTGTTTCTTAAATTAATTATTTCCTTTAGATATACATGTTACAAAGATACTTAGGAATAAATGTAGGTTGGCGTATAATATTAATATCGTATTTCTGTAAGTGTTTCGGGAAGAACGGACGAAGCTTTCCGGAATTAGAGTGCAATCTTTGCAAGGCGCACTCGGTAGAAATCCGAGATACGATCGTGCAATATCGCCTCGGCCTTCGGTACGCGGGCCTTCAGTTGGAGAGCGCGAGAAACGTTTCAGAAACAATAACAAGATCGCCCTGTGAAAGTTCGCGTCTGCATGCACCTGGAGTTTTCTAATGCGCGAGTTCGCAGATTTCCCCGGAGCCGTCATCGCCTCTTTTCTCGTTTCGCCCGGCGGCACTCACGAAATTAACAAGTTTTGCGAGTCGGTTTTCACAGGGCAGCCCTCTCGTGCGAGGTAGTCTCTGCAAAACGGGGAAACGAACGTCGAGATAGCAGCGCAATATCGGCGCGAAAACTCGTGCCGATTCGTTTGCGGGATGTTTCTTGGCATTCAACTCGCAAATAATGAACTGCTTGTTGCAAAATGTTTCGGATTGAATATACTTGTTCCCAACATGGTCGTACGACGCGGCTTACCGGGAATATTGAATTAAAGAATAAAGTAAATTTATATTTTACATTCCGGTAAAAGATAAACGCTTTTGAGGAGATGGTAGCTCCGTTATGATTCGATATTCTTGATGCCCAGTATAACCAAATAGCAACGAATTAAAAAAAAAATTTATAAAGTAATTTCCAAAACTTACATAAACTATATTATCAAAAATTATTGAGCGCTACATGTAAAGGAAGAAATATTTAAATGTCTTTCTCAATATTTAGAGATAATTTAAATGCGAGAAGATCACAAACATTAGAACGGCTGAATTCTAAGTCTGTTTAGAATATCAATTTTGAATAGAAGTTTAAGACCATTTTAAGTAATATTTTAAAATGCCAACACTACTCTGTGATTGGCTTATGACACCTTAAGACTGTATTTAAAACGACCTTAAATATAAAAATCGACTATGAATATCGACTATGAATACCGGCCTTAAAAACTATTTAATTTTATTTGAAAATATAATAGATTTAGCCATTCTACTGTTAACATCCGCATAGTCGAAAGCAACGAAGGATGGCAATCACGGCGCATTGAAATTGAAAGAATTCGCAATCGTAAAAAAAAACAGAACATGGGAAAGAAAAATTGAAAATACCGAATGTACAGCCATGTCGATTCAATTCGGTTTGGTTTTATTATTTACGTGTTTGTACGACGTCGTGTCTGTGTATGTGATTATTATTCCGATAATAATTCTTATCATCACGACTTGGTTACATTAATCGAGAGAATCAACGAACGGGAGATCTCGCAGATTTCTTGCGAGTTATTGCACTTATGCAGCAAAATGACTTTGCAACGCAGAACGTTTCGTAGCGTTCGAAAATCTAAATATATGTACGTATGCAGAATCATATACAGATACATGACGCTTACACGCGCCGGTCCATCCATGCATACGCACATAGTGATATATGTGTACATAGTAGGTAGGTTAACAAATTAATTAATTAATTAATTAATTAATTGTATTTTGTATCGCGCAGAAACTGATAGAGCATAAAATCGGCGGAAAATGTAACTCGCTACCTTTATTTGAATTTATTGCAACAAATCGCGATTTTTTGTATTGCATTTGACAAAGACACTGTATATGTATTATACAATGGTGTTCTTTTTCAAGATATATCGATTTTCAGCGATTGAATATTGCAAGCTCGACCGATCGCTCGTCAACTAGGCGAAAATTAATAATTTTGCGCTCGCATCAGAATTTCCAGCCTGGGCGAAATATAAAAAAATTATTTCGGCGCGAATTAGCAATACGAGATCTTTTTATCAGTTTTATAATTATACACATCATATCCTTACACCATTTTACCCCCTCCTTCCTCGTCTTTCATCTTTCATCACCACATAGTAAGAACGATAGCACCCTCTCTATTCCCCATCCGAGATAATATATGATCGATTTCACATATTTACGATTAAGTAAAGGAAACGTTTATGAAAAAGAGTAAGGATATACACAATGTAATGTCGTTTAATTAAATATTGCAGATAGAAGTCGGAAATATATGATCGATTTATTAACTAATTACGATTGATCTTACGGTAACACTTATTATAATATTTGGTAACATACAATAACGATGATAATTAGTAATCATAACAATACCTATTTGTGATGTACTACGATGACTTGCACTGAGTTCGGGTCACGTGAAATTTATTGATGATGAATTCAAATAAAAGAAATATAATTGAAACTGGAAACGATGCACAGACTGTTTATTGATTCTTACAAGTTTACTTAATGACCAAAAAGTTTGTGTGCTTTGTATGTCTTACCTTAGTCTTCTTGTATTTTCTTTACTCATTATTTTTTTTGTTGCCTTTGCTCTTTTGGTTGAACAAATTTGCGCGAAGTATGCCCAGAACTGTATATCACTCTTTTTTCCTTTTCTGTTTGAAAAATACAAATTTTCTTTTGTAGTGCACTCCGCTTGCAAATGAGAAATAGTTTCTTGCGTATTCAAAAATAGGATACTCGATCGGAATTGTGCTAATAATCGGCTATAAGTCAAGTAATCTGCGTATAAACGCCTCTCGCGAGAATATTCCGTTGTGTCCATTGCTAATTCCCCTCCATATCGACGACAACATTGAAATTCACCCATT